ATCAATTTTAAACCTCAGCAATCAAACAACAAATTATAATACAGCATTTTTGCAAAACACTGCCTAAAAAATGCAAAGCATCAGATTCAGAGGAAAATCAACAATATAGTTACTAGCGATTTAATTTAAAGCAAATGAAGGCCACCCTACATTCAATAACTGTGAGCAAGCCTTTGAGTGATTGAGACAAAAAAAAATCATTATTTGTGCTTTCAAGAATTATGTATTTGTCCTGAATGGTAAAGTGTTCTGTAAAAACCTTGTCATCACAGGCAGTGTTTTCCATATTTTCACCTGTCACCGTAAGAAACTCATCATCGTTTTGTGCAGATTCATCAATCCTTTAAATCAGATTATGTGAATCATAAATTCACTAGACAAAATAGCTTACTGTACCTTTGAGTTGCAAAGAAATTGAAAATGGAACCTGGAAACATCTAAATATAGCTTACCAAAAAAACCTGCTTATTTCTTCTTTTCATCTGCACTGCACTAATATGCAACCTGGCATGAGTGCCTTGCATTATTAAAAAGGTCTCCTCTAAGGCAAAAATCCCTACTTTAGAGAATGTTTGTTAAAAATAAGTCTCAGGGGCTTTTTTTGTAGTTGCATTTTTAAAAATCTTTTTGGGTTACTCTTTACATCATTCTCAAAATAAATTGTACAATACAAAATGCTTTAGCCCCTAAGGAAAAATGACAGCAACTAAGGCCCATTAGCATTATTTTCCAAACAACTAATAAAGAAACAATTCTTCAATTCATCTTACAACCAGTGAAATGAAGCACTCATCACCCTCTGCAGCAAGTCCAACTTTTAGAACAGCAGGGTATTTTATATATAAAAAGCTGTAGTATAATGCAAGATAACAATAGCATAAATGAAAAACTAGGCATCCCAAACACCACTAATTCAAGCTAGGCTGCTCATGCCTTGTAAYATCTAGAGACAAAAAAATCTCTGGTGAGAAGACAGAACTCCAGAAGAGTATCAGTAATGACAAGAATAGTTTGGGATGGGACAGATTTCACAGACGATCTGGTCCACCTCTCCACTTAAGATCAAGCAAGACTAACCTGGACATTGCATCATGCAGGCCCTYGTCCAAAGTCAAATTCTGAAACCCTCCAAGACTGTAGACTCCACCATCTCTCCAAGCAATCTGTAACAGCATAGACTTCCCACACTTGTCAGAATTTTTCAGGAACTTCTTTGTCCTTCTGCTGCTCACCTCCAAGTTATGCCCCTTCCTGCTGCTAACTCTTGTCTAAACTGGACTTAAAGGCCAGCTAATGTACCACTGCTGTTTGTTTATAAGAGGAATGTTGTCAAATATTATTAGTTTTCCATTTCCCATGTTATCACAGTAACAATTTATACAGTCCAATAGTTTACTGCATCCATACTGGTTTGTAAACCTCAGTCTTTTGAAAAATCATAGCCAGTCTTTCTCTCAGCCTCTCTTTTCCTTGAGTCTTCCCTCCATCCCATGCCTTAAGATTTCTCTGGAAGGCATTCCATGAAGAAATGTCCCAAAAAAGGGAATAACTAAAAATGTTACAGAAGTGACAGGGCTCTATTGCAGCTTTCCAGGCTGAATGTGAAAACAYATCAGGAGACAGAAATAGAGAAATATTGTACTAGAAAAAAACTTCGTTATTCTCTACTTTCTCTACTAGGAAACACAGTTGACCCATCACAGCCCAGAGCCAGAGCTTAGCAGTATCTGCTACTTTTTAGCAAGATGGAGGCTGGCTCGGTGCCACTGCTGACAGTCAGGTATCTTGAACTCAAGACCCTTCAGATATTGAAATTGCTTCATGCATCTTTCAAAGAAAGGAACAAAAAAGTAAGAAATGCTATCTCCTTTTGAGGCTTTTAGACTTCTTAACTATACCACATTGAGTCAAACTAATGAGAAGTTCTAACCTCCCAGCAATGAATCTGAATCTGCAAATATGACTTTCTGGCTGGTTGGCTATTTTAATTTGGATTATCTCTAGAGAGGGCACATTACACCCCAATTTCAGATTAAAAAGCTCAGCCTGCTCTAAAGTAGCACTGATGAAGAATTGATTCGGTAGGCATTACTGATCACTTTCCAGAAGCAGAGAAAAAGGAAGGTGTCTTAAGATCTTCATTTGCCGAGGATCTAGATGCTGAGATTTGCTCAGCTGGTTAAAGTATGGTGCTAGTAACACCAAAGTTGTGGGTTCAATCCCTGTGTGAGCCGTTTACTTAAGAGTTGGACTCAATGATCCTTATGAGAATCTTCCAACTCAGAACATTCTGTGAACCCGTGACCTATCCTTGGGTCTAGGAYGGATGGGGTGGTCCAGAATGAAAACAGTACAGCAGGTGAGCTTTAATCTTATCAGAGCATATTGCTCCAACACTTTAATGCAGCAACATTTGACATAACACAGCAACACAGATTTCCACAGAACACCTTGAATTTAAAGTAAGAGCCCAAACTAAACTAGTTGTTCTTGCCACTACAATATCAGACCAGTTTTCCCAAGTTTTACAGCTTARGCTTTAAAGTCCTGTGGACCAAGAGTGCACACTTATCCAACAGTTAAAGATACAAAGTAAGTATTTCCATGGCATCCATTTTTCCATCAAACATATAGTTTTTATTTTCCTTCCCCAAAGGGCYGAACTTGCCAACCCTCAGGTCCCAATCTCTCCACACTACAGCAAGTTCACACCGCTTCCTCAGTAGCCAGGAACACTGAGCCAGGGTCTGACAGCATCTGTGGAATACCACTGACAAACAACTGTATGAGAAAACTTAATAAACAATTATTACATTCAAGATTTTTTTTTTAAAGTTACAKTAGCTCTATTTTTCAGATTAGGATAGTACTACTCTTAACAACCTAGAGCAATGCCTGTTTGGTTGAAGGGACATAGGGTGTAACATTGTTTTGGGGGAAGGAAATCAATCCTCCAAATATTTCTAACTCAGTAACCATACCTAGCTACTGAATAAATTTAAGAAGAACTAAAGACAATTCAAAGTTACTAAATGCAGAACACCTGCAAAATTTGATTCAACATAATAACCGGGCAAGTGCACACAAAAACAGTATTGCACTTAACAACCATAACTAACAGTTTAGATTGCAATGTATTTCTGTCAGACTRTATTCTGGTAATCCAGTTTTATACTGGGCTTTGTTAAATGAAAAAGTATTGTTATGGGAAAGGAGAACACCTTRGTATAAATGCAAACAGATTAATCAAAGACTTATTAGTCCAGATTCAGTAACTGCAGGGAAAAAAAAAACTGTACATAACTGTACACAAAAAAGAACTGTGCATAAAAAAAAAAAAACCCAGTTGTGATAGTAGTAATAATTAAGACTGTTAAACCTGCACTTCCTAGCACGTCACTCCCTTTCTTGGTGTTTACTCTTCAACCAGCGCTTTGGATGCTGAGGCCGATGATGCCTGTGCCAGGGACACGCAGCAAGCCACTGACATCCCAWGTCTGAATGTGATGTTGACAGTTTCTTCCTCCTTACTATATAATTGACTTGGAAACATGTTTACATTTGGCAATTCACTTGTGACATCCTTATCACTGTTAACACCCCCTATCAATAGGAATGGTAACAGCTGGGTTACAGCTCAATAGSCAGAAATGCAGCCCTTTCTCCTTTTCCCTGAAACATAAACATTWGCAGCAGACTAGAACTGGACATTCTTTTAACTGCAAAAAAAAMYAATCTGCAGGATCCGAGTTAGACAYTGATGTCWAGAATGCTTGTTCTGAAACTATYTGTTGCCACTAGACAGTCCYGCTTGCCATAAACTGACATCTATATAACCTTCTCAACTGCACACCTATGAAACAGTTMTGCGTATCAAATAATACTGTCACTTATATTAGAGCAAACTTTCAAGTCTGAAATTAAATTCTAGTTCTGAGCCACACCATCTTAACAACATGGTCCCTCCTTCCATGCATTAAAATTTTGCTTCATTCTTAAAGCTATTTGGATCTTAAATCCAAGCAACACCTGCACAGCTTTTATTACATACTGCACATTTTTATCAGTTAAAGGTGACATTATTGGAAAAAATTTGAAAATAGTCACTAGTCATGACACTTCAGTCAAAAAAAAAAACTTTAAGATGTGTGTCCCTCGATTTTTTTTTTCCYCCTGCTTATGAAATATTGATACAGTGTAAGGTATCCATCCTAGGCAGGCACTCACTTTCAGAGACTAAGTAAGTGCAATTGTAGGACTGACTCTTTGGACAGGTGGAGGCTGTTCCAAGTGATCCTTGGTTGACAACTTCACCTTTCTTCCAGAAACAGGTTGGGAGAACTGGATGAAYCTCAATTTCAGAAGAGACAATTCTGACTGTAAGCACAATCAAACAACAATCTAGTACCATCTGCATTTACAAAATTTAAATAAGGGAGTTATGAAATGGCACTTTCCCTCCCTGAYAGACCTGATGACTTCTTCCTAGAAAGGCTGACTGCACACTTTAGTAGGTATTTATGGGCATATCTAAATTAGGAGCTAGAGAAGCCAGAGACAAGCTAGAGAAATTATGCTTGTTTCACATTCTAAATTAAATGCAAAACATCTCATGAAGAGGTTAATCTACAACCACTGCAGAACACTAAATGTGACACAGTAAGTCAGTTGCTGGTCCAAACCCAGCTACTCCAGCTGTTTTCAAAATAGCACAATCCAGATCAGCTTTTAGTTAACATGARATTAGTGAAGTATTGGAAGTCAGATAGTGATTTACGCCTTATATATAGTGGAAAGCCTACCTCAAAATTTAGATGTCAGATTTTCAGATCCCAAGTMGGTTTCAAAATTTACAGAAATCGAGAAAAAATATTTAGCATAGCAATAMACCACCATTCTAAAAATAGTAAAATATTGTCTATGTGAAATATCCTTATCACTACTTAACAGCAGTTACATAAACTCTTACATTTATTACAAAATAGATTTCTACCACTACATACCAGTCTCCAAAAGGCTTTTATTTATCAGCTTAGAAGTAGTAGATAATATAAAAATAAAYCATTACTTAATATTCAGTTACTTTTATCATATAAATTTATTTTAGGAAACAGAAAACACATGTAGAAAAAAAAATTTCTATGGATGTCTCACAAAGCAGAACACTCTGCATTTGTTCTACTGCTGTAGTAAAAGAAAGCAACTCCAAGATAAAGGAACAGTCTTGGCAGCCTGTTCTTTCTCCCTATAAACTGCAATGCTCAATATGGACATGTATGGAAACTTAGTAAGGCCTGAACTGAGGAGGATGGCTATCTGGAGGAGGTGGTGGCGGTGGTGGTGGCGGAGGTGGCACAAATGAATACGATGAGTTGTACGTGCTTGGGCCTCTCCACATCACATTCGTATTTGAAGGCGGAGGGCGGAACTGATGCCCGTCATTGACAGAACCAAACACTGGAGGAGGAAAGGAATACTGTTGCATCATTGGATTTTCTTTTCTAGGAGGTTGTGGAAACACTGGTGATTCCTGGTGCATCCTCTTGTCTGAGGAGTATAGCTGTGGTGGTCTTAATTTTGGTCTAAAGAACCCTCGAGGGCCTGGTGGAGGAGGAAGGGACTCCCTGGAGAACCCTCTGCCAYGGCGTGGTCTCAAATTACTTGAAGGAGGCTGGTGTACTGATTGTCGAAGTCCTGAATTCTCACCTAAAGAATAAACAAATGTAAGAACCCACACGCAAAGCTGTAATATTATTTTGGAAAGATCAAACTTAGCCCTCACAAATCTTTCAAGCTAAAGTCAAGGAAATTTGAAAAGTAATCTGATCAACAAATAATCCAGGCAAGTAATACATAATACTGGCAAATTCATTGTTCAGTAACTCATCTTGATTGATTGGAGTAAYATGAGAAGGATGACCCTGAGAGTTGCATTCAGTCTTTAAAATAAAGAAATTTCACCTTCTTTCCCTCCAGGCTTCCCATTTGTATAAAGGGATCTCAGGGACACACAAATTCTGAATATTTTGGGAGCTTTAATTTAAAACAAGATTTAAAAACAAATATATTTTAAAACTGAAGATAAATCAACACTGCATTACACTGAAGGGGTATACAGCTTTCAGTCCCAAGTTGATATTACAGCACAGACACAGGACAAAAGAAATTATTCAAGCTCAAATTAATAAAATTAACTTTCTCTATCAGAAAAAGGACAGTCTGTACCTCTAACYAATTAGCTTTCAGCATTAATCTTTCTAAGGTTAATTTTTCCCTGTACAGCTCATTGTAAATATACATTTTATGCTCACAACAAATGTACTGCCCCTTTATATAAATATCATAGGAGTTTTAATGGGATTARGGCAATAAAATGAAAAGCACTGAAATACTAAAAATTCTCCAAAAAGCTGCTAAGACATTCAAAAAGCTGTAGAACCTAAACCCTCAGAAGGATTTTATGGCTGGGAGCAACAAGGTATTCAGGAATACAGCACCGAATAAAATCACTGAAATTTAAAAATCTGCATGAACCTCATCCTTGGCACTCAACTACATTAGCTTTTCAAACGTGAAAATATTTCTAAGTCTGGAAAGGTACTTGGGATAGCAGGATTCCCACTCATTTTCATAGGTGATTAGGAGTTAAGACTCTTTTGGTATAAGCAGGCCTCTTGGAAGCACTAAAGTACTTGAATAAGTATTTTTGTTCTTCTTCTACCAAATACTGTAACAAGAAGACAATTTTAATATACTCAGATTTTTATGCAGATGCAACCATGTAAAACTCCATCTGAGACTGTCTCTGTGCCTCAGTATGTGACATATCCTTGCTGTTGAATTCTACAGACAAAACAAATTGCACACAAATTTCAATTTGTGCCACGTTGTTTACAAAAAACCACTGCAAATCATAATCTATCTCCTCTGACCGAATGCAACAGTTCCTCCTGTTGTGTTCTCAGTTATAGAACATGGCTCAGGAACAGCCTCAGCAAGCCCTAGGCAAAGGCACTCTGCAGTAAGCCAGCAGAACAAGGATGTGGTGGAAAACATGCATAAGCCAGAGAAACTGGGAGAAAATAACCATCAGTAATGAAGAGGAAGTACAGCACAACTCAGATCCATCTCTTAAGGGAAACAAAAACTGTGAAAACTCTAGGCAAAAGCCAGTCCAAGGAAGACTGCAGCTTTATTTGATTGATTCAAGGGAGGACTGTGCTGATATACACTGTTGTACCAAAAGTGTTAAAGGACAGGTACTGATCTCCCAGATCATGAGAAAAGGGTTTCAGTGGGGCACAGTGTATATCAGCTTTACAAAGGAAGCAAACTCACAGGAGGAACCTGTCCAAGAAATTCAGTGGGGGAAGCACCTTGCTGAAGGAATCTGATTCAAGCTGCAGAAGAGGGTAAAGAATTGAGAGTGAACTGTGTTTAAAAAGTGGTATAAAAAGCATGCAGCAGCAGCAAACCAGTGAGAACAGAAAAAGGGGGATGCAATATGAATTATTCAACCAAAATGGCAATCAAAAATGAAATTTTGCCAGTAGAGAGGCATGAGAGAGGAGAAAATTTGGTTATTTTAAACAGAGCACTGCTGTAAACATACACCTGGGAACAGATATGACAACAGCAGGAGAAAGGAGGGTAAAGAAGGCTATTCGTATTATGAAAACCTATACACAGCTTTGTTTATCTAATAACTGCATTAGCTAAACAGGTTCTCAGTAGGCTACACAAGTAAAGAGTTATTTAGAAGAACATTTATATGTCATGGGTGAAAAAGAGCTTCCTTTTCAGACAGAGGAATAAATTCTCCATCTAAGACCTGTCTCTCCTCCTTTATTGCCAAAGTGGGTTTCCAAAAACTGCMCATGGCCTTCCTGTGTCTTCTTCCAGCACTCAGAGGCTTTAGCTGAATGCCAAATAAGCAGRCTCTAGCTCCAAATGGTGGCATATGTTCAGTATCCTCACTGTGTCAACCAACACTGTTCTAAGAGCTTTTGACTCTCTCCTGACAACTGCTCTGCTGCTATAACACTTCCCTTCCACACAGTTTCCATTTGAACAGAATACAAATTAATTTTTCTTCTAAACAARAAGTTAGGAATGTAGCCACAAATTCACAAATATAACTTTGAAAAAATACAGAGTTACAATTAACTGCATAAAAATTCAATCATTAAGATAGAAATAATGTGCATTGCAAATTCAGTTTACCAGACAAAAACATTCTCCCATAGCATTCACCTACCTGATGGAACTGTTTCTGATCTGAGTTTCTTCCTTCCTTTTTGAGGCTTCTTCTTCTGTTTCGCCTCTCTTTCTTTTTCATCATCACTGAAATCCAAAGCCTGGTTAAAGAAAATAATAATCAGCTGGCTTCTCAGCACAAGAAAAACATTAACACTCCAAAAATTTCATGTGAGACAAGTAATGCAAGACTCAGTAATTCTAATTTTCCTAAAAAGAGGAACATTTAAGTGCTGAACACAAATATTTGATTGCCTAGATGGCAAAAGAAGGAGCTGGCTGGCTCCTGCAGTACAAGCTTTTGAAGARCAACTGCAGACTAAGTGAATTAAAACATGAATTTTTAAAATAAGTTAAAATTAACTTGGCAGCCAGTACATAATTTAGCTAASTATATTAAAAAAATACTTGTACTCTAAAATTGTCACTATATTGGAATTTTCTGTAGTATATTCAGGAATGCTTTCCATTGATTCCGAAGAAATTTTCAGCTTTGAGGAATGTCATTTACAACAGATTCAAAGTCACTGCAACATTTTCTTCTTGCTACACAAGGTTTTGCCACCTTCTGAATCCTAACGTMCATTTAGAATAAAGATAATTTATCAGTGACAGGGTAGAAAACTGCCAGCATTAGCAAGTTCCCTAAAAACAGCTCACTCATATGACTTAAAAGGGGCATGATCTGTTCCCACCCTCCCCTTCCCAATTCTGAAAGTAGAGGCTTTGCTGCTTACTTATGGATTTCAGTATACAATAGAGAAGGGATCTCAAAAACACTGCACCATAACAGTGCTTAAATTGTATCATAAAAGTTAATTTTGAATACAACTGTTTTTTTCTGCTACATAACTGGATTAAGAAAAAAAAAGCCATAAGAAATACAGCAACATGATATATACATGAACTAAAATCTTTCACTAACTCCTGCTTTTTCTAAGAACTCCAGTACACMACACTCCAGTAATGAAGAAATAATGAACACCCCACAGAAAAATTGCAGTTATCTGCTMCTGCTAGCCTTGCAGCATATAGACCACACTTTGTCATCCTCTGACCCCAAAGACAAAGCTAGGAGAGACTGCATTAGAGACTCTACAAATAAGCTGGGCTGACTAAGAGCCTGCCAGAAAACGAATGTTTACCAAATACCTTAAAGTAGCAAGTAAGAAGAGCTCAGAACAGATTAATTTAACATTCATACAAAAATCAAGCTACACACCATCACAAAAAGAACTGACTCCAAAAGTGCACTGTTTACTATAGGGACTGGCCAGAAATCAGCTGCAAGTTAAGGTCTCTAAAAGGATCTGGCTCTAAGAGACAATTTCAAGCATCAGTAGCATAAAATTCAATCTGCACCCTTGTCAACAGCTATTACACCTTCACAGCAAAAKCTACTATCTATCAGCTCATCAACTGTCACAGTTGGGACAGCGTGGTATAAGCTTTAACTGCAAAGATTATGCTAATTGAGGATTACAAGATGTTAGATGTGGTTTTTTTTCCAAAACAGAGCACACAGACAAATCAGTCAGTGTCCACCCTTGCCATCAGTGACAGTTCAAGCTTCCTTCCTTTCTATAGTACAGAAAACTTAAATCAAGAAAATTGATTTAAAAAACCAAACTTTGGAAAAAGCAATAAATCTGTATCTGCAGAAGATTCGACTGACTTGTATTTGGACAAYAAAAATTCATGGGTTCCTACAAATTCAAATTATACAACTACAAGCTTATCTCCTGAACAGCTTTTAAAACATAACTGAGAAAAAAAAGCTCACCGTTAGCCAATACTCGCATTTTGACCYATCACCACTAGAAAATTGCTGAATGAAAGCAAGTTAAGACTAGTCAAAACTTTCTAAAGCAAAGTCTTTCAAAGCTCTATGGATAACACATCCACAAGTTGAATTCTGATGCAACACTTCTAATTCTCAAATCGTGATTCTCTGTGAGACAATGTCTCCACAAGAAAGAAAGGTAATTTACAGAGAGAACTGACAGACAAGCCTTGTTTGCGAGAATTTAACACTGCACAGCTCGGTTCCATTCATAGCAAGAAAAAGCAGTATTTCAAAATGCATCATACTCACTACAGTGGAAAAAGCAACATTCCAGGTTGACAGACTGATAAATCATTACAGGACCTATCACTGAGCACAGAAAAGATCATATCACAACATCTATCCTTCAAGCCAGAACAACCATCCTGGGATGAGGACTGTGAATGCAAAATTTAATASTGTCAGTACTTAAGAGGCATTTGGACAATGCCCTTCTCTACATGCTTCAGCTTATGGTCAGCCCTGAACTTGTCAGACCAGATAATTGCTATAGGTTCTTTCCAACTGAAATAGTCTATTCTATTTCATCTAAAAATCAGCTGGAACACTGGGGAAACAAAACCAAATAAACATTAGCCTTCCCTCCCCCAAAAAAACTCCAAACCACAAAACCCACCTTTCCTACATAATAAGAGAGTGAGGTGCACATTTTACATAGCATAGAATTACGCTAAAAAGGCAAGCATTTGGAAGATTCAAAACAAGCAGACAGATATTTTTAGAATACTATGGTAGACACGAGGCTTCTAGGAATTTCAGCTATTTTGGAGATATGCTTGAATTAGGAATTGCAAGGGAAAGTKATTCAAGTGTTGCTCCATGAAACAAATCCCACGAAAACACCTCAATAGAACTACCAGCCTTGTGATTCTTATTGAARAGAATAATCACAAAAAATATAGTGTGAGTCACTGAAGAAGCATTTACAGATCCTATAGTAAATGATGTCAATGGTCACACGAAGCTCTCAATTGTACACMATCCTGTATGACTGCTTTCCTTGGAAGAAGCCCATCTCCTCCCAATCAACTACTGTTTTGTAACAGCAAACTGTAAGGAAAGCTTACTAAGAAAGTMTTCAAAGAACACAACAGAGGAGGTGTCAGAACAGAAGAGCAGACAACTTAAACATACATCCATGCAGTAAGTTTGCAGAGTACTAAAAAAGCCTTTAAAGACAAACAATTGCATGTGGCAAACTGAAGACAAATTAGCTGTGAAAGGATGACAGGGACAAAAATTCCCTAGCAGAAGCAAAATTATTAGGCAAGGTAAAAGCACCGCTACCCAACAATGAATGTTCCTGTTGTCAAACACATTCTTGAAAGACTAGAGGAACTGAACATACATATTTTCCCAACTGCATAGGGCAAGTAGACAGACAGGTAGTACTCTCTACACTCATTACAAGACCTTTCCAAGTAGAACATGATCTTTTCTTTCAATTAAGAGGTATATTTAACTCGTCTGCACAAAAACATAAGCTTGCTAATTAGTTGCTCTGCACAGAATTTTTTCTACATATAACCTGTGTAATCAAAACAAAAAAAAATCCTTTATAGTTACTTCAGGTGGTGGTTCTTGGTCATTCTTCCAAGATGCATCTGAACCTTTCTCCCTAAAWGTAGAAAAAACACAAATTAGACAATCCAGATAAAGGAAGGGTATTCAGATCTCCTACAACAGCAGCTTCCTGTTTTCAAAGACATATTTATTTTTTAATATTGTTTCTAAGCAAATAGTAATGCATACATCAGCTTAGGATTTCACTAGACTTGAAAAACCTTCCTAGTTCAAGTGATGACTGAACATTCATCCAGCTAAAATTAAGTTTTGGTCAATACTTTCTCAACAAATACTTTTGAACCTTAATTGCTTTGAACCTGAATTGAGGTAGTTAACTGCAACTTTTTATGCTAACTGCTGACTACAGTCACAACCTTTTTATTTTTCTGGTTTCAGAATATGCATCTTCAGCTGAAAAGAATGATGAACTCATTCACTAGGACCCACCCAGGCTTTTAGTGTAACTACAGCAAATTCAGAACCAAAAGACTCTCAAAGTTTGGCTTACAATCCTGTAAGGACAGTGCTAGCTAGATAACCAGGTTTCACCTTCCATTTTGTTGTAAACATAAAATTAATTTGCAAGGCAAAAGACACTTAAAGTCAAAACTCAACTGTCTTGACTGACAAGCATCAAAATAAATTTGAGTTAGTATAATTTATTTCATCCAYTGCAAAGACCTTCACTAAAAATCAAGTATTTTCTTTGATAAGAAAATTCTTTGATAAGCAAAGAATTTGCAGCATAGATTTAAGTTACATCRCCAGTAGTCTGTTGAAGGTTTTTTCCATACTGCTCATAAATTTAATGTGCTTTGGTCTGAAATGTCAAGGTACAATCCTTATCCGTACAGAAAAAAATTGTACAAAACAGCGCAGCGCTGAAAATCCTTCCTTGCAAAATGCAACCACACCAATGTGTTCAGTGCRGAATGTATTCAGTCAGCGCTCTAATAACCAAGGGTTTTTTTATGTATGCATCAAATCAGCAACAATCAAGTAGCAATAACCACAAAAAACTACATAACCATTGGCATCAGCAGCCTGGACTTCAGAAATCCTTACGCATTACCCACGAGAGAACTGGCAAGTCATCTGGAGATACATCATGCCTCAATYCCTAACCATAGAACTGAAGCTCAACCTCTATACGGCACAAGAAAACCATAAAGACACACCAATCTTTGTGATTACGAGCAAAAGGAAGGCAAGGAAGCCATTTTAAAGTGCAATTAGAAAAAAAACATTACAGGGAAAAAGAGAAGATAAAGGCTCTATATGAGTAATTTCTCAGCTGCAGARAAGTTCTTTTATTATCATGAACAGAACTGTTTCTTCCTTTCATCTTATTATTTTGGAGCAACGCATGCCTGGCAGAAATACTAGACAACACAAAATCTTCAAGACCYGTGATTAGTCAGAACTATATAATATCACTGACTGCAAACTTTAAACCTTTCAAGGTCAGGAAGCTTGTATCAACTCTCCCAAAGGAGCCTTCCTCAGCTCAGCAAGCAAACACTGYTTTTCAAGCTCTGAGGTACTTCATACCTTCTGCAAAGAACAATATATTATTTCTTTGATTTCTGAAGTCAGATACTGTAAAATCTGTAAGTCTAACAAAAGGTGATTTAGAGGAATCATGAAAATACATGAGATTTTTTAAAACTAYGTTTCAGGCAATACAACACAAATCTATCTTTAGCAACAAATTATTTTACATTCAGAAAGTTTTACACTACATTTTCATTTATTTTTCTATAACATTTAAGTCTTATTCATTCACTGCTTATTCAGTGCTGCAACTTTGCACAATGAAAGCAGATTGCATTTCAGATTTCAGAAAAAGCTTGAAACTCASTGCTCCTTTCAGATCTTAATCTTGATTCCTTTCCTTTTCTAAGTGCCATCAAAGTTTTGATTCAATAGCAGTTTTAAAACTTTAAGCCTGTTTTCAGTMCAAACTCTGGTCTGCCAACAGTCAAACTAACAAAAAGCAGAAAATAAAAATTATTTTCTATCGAATTTGCAATCTACAAAGGTCCAGAAGCTGTCTAGTGAATCACTGACCAAAGCTTGACTTTTCTACTATCCATGCCACCTTCTTATGTCATTCAGGTTTCTTCATATAGCATTACAGTACAAGTCAGGAATCAGAAATTCATCTGTTTTTAATGAAACCTRCTTAGTGAAAAGGCAGCTTCAACCAATAGTATCACATGCCTCACACAAGCTTAAGAAATTATACTGACAAAACCCAGAAATAAGTTACAGTACATGGAAACAATATTTTAAGTCACACTACTCAACCTAATCAAGGCAAAAAACAATGTCTGAAGCATTGTTTAGCTGTGCTGATGAGCCCTGGATGCCTGAAGTACCTTGCCTAGGTTTCCAAAGCATGAAACAAACTAAAACATGAGTCTCCCATCTCAGATGCTGAGTGCAGCACACTGATATTGATGCAGCAAGCAGATGATTAAAGTCTGTGCAGTTACTGTGCTAAGCAACAAAGTTTAATAGCACAAATCAAAGACCAGCTGGCACCAAAATGCTGCAAAAAACAAACAAGCATCAGAGCRAAGAAGTGATCTATTTTGGTCCTCGCTGAAGGGAAGAAAATATGCTTGTTGCTTGCACAGAAATGAGGAAGTTAAAAGAAAAAGAAAAAAAGACTCCTGCAGGTCTGGCTACACATATTTGACTAAAGAAAATAACTRTTCAGTAAAATACTGGCACAGCTGTCATGAATGAAGATAATTAACTAACTCCTGACAACTAATCCTAATAAACAGAGACCAAGCCACTTATATGAAAAAAAGATATTGAAATTATAGTTATTTCAGGTAATTACTTATCAATAATAAGAACATTATTATCTAGCTGTCATTTATTATGCTTTATTTCTTAGTCTGTATCTCTTGAGTACACTTCCCTTTAAATGCTATCAAGTCCTACTTGCTCATATTGCTTTCCTCAGATGGACTGGAATACCCAAACACTACTGAGAAGTTTCTGAACATCTTACTATATTGTCACTCAAATCTCTCCTCTCTCCCAATTTACAGTGGGTAGTTCTCATCCAGAATTGTTATCCTCCAATTGTATAATAGATTTATTGATAAGTACATTTCAATTCTGGCCTTGTAATATGAAATAAAACCAGTAAATCAATACAAACTTGTTCAGAATGCAAATAAGTTCATTACCAGTTCTGAATCTAAACAAGAATCTAAAGAACAACAAAACATGGAAAGTTTAGCTTGCAAAACTTTCTTTTTCATACTCATATATATGTATGTTAGAGGGTGTGGAGAAAGTATCAATGAACTTTTTTGGTTGTGATGTTTTAATTAGCAACATAAAAAGAAAGCAAGCTCAGTATACCAAATAGAGTAAGAAGTTAAACTAGTAATTACAGAACTTTAAAAGCCTGCAGTTTACAGCTTCTCTGTATTGTTCTCAAGGGCAAAACAGTAGAGTCATGTTAGTACAACACAGCTGAAAACCTCTAAAGGAAATATTAAGTTCAGTGTCAAGTTTAGTACTACAGTTTTTCACTGAAGATTCAACTTTAATCCAGTATTTTTAGCTATAYTGAAAAAATTAGAAAATAAATCAGACTCACTGTTTTAGTTTCTCTGCAAATATATACTGGGTGAAGTCCTTCACTGATGGAGCAAAATACATGCTATCTTGCACATTAATACCTTTTGCTTTGATATGATCAGAGCCATTAAATCTTATCACATAAAAAGGATGTAAAACGGGACCAAATATCTCAAATATCTGAAAGAAACAAAGTTAAAATGTTTAAATAAACTACCACAAGCAGACAGCTCATTTCATTGTAGACAGTGGTATTTAAAAAGTGCAATATATCTTCAAAATGCAGCATCAAGCAGAAGTTCCTTTCACATTTCAGTTTTATTACTGAATTTTGATTGACAATGTATTTTCCTGACTACTGTTCTTTATAATGTAGAAAAGTAAGTTCTCACATCCTCAGGAATCCTTCCCTTTGTCAAATCACTACTCTTCTGTGCCTGTTATGTTTTCAGATCTTGTAACAATCTGATCATTTTTTCCTCAAACTTGATTATTATAAGATGCCTTTAATACCAGTTACTGCTTGTTCCCCGATTCCATTGAGATTTTTGCCATGTTTTACAGAACATCTGCAATTCAGGAAGAGTTTGCTCCACTCACATCTAGCATTCAAAGATATTTCAGTAGTAACCTCTCCCCTTGTAGAGGACAGKTTTTTTTCTACAGAAAACAGAAATTCAACACAACAACCATCTCAGTATAAATTCTTCAATGGCCTTAAACCTGAACAGCACATCATAGAAATTAACATTACCCATTTTTCATGAAGCTTCACTCTAACCTCTGTCCCTATCTGTCACAAAAAGAGCACAGCCTATTATTCCAAGAYGTCATTTGAAAGCGATCTCTTTCTCTCCACAAGCGCTCTCATCAAATACTGGAAACTCACCAGATACTGTAATTCTGTAAGGATGTAATTAATTCCAGATTAGGAATCCTTGAGATTAAAAAACCAGATGAATATAGCAAGAATCAAAAGCACAAAGAAAAGCTATATATCAAGGAGACATTATCTTTCATTTAGTCAACTTCAACACTACTATCTAGAGTACTAAAAAATACTTCCAATTTTATATTAGAATAACGAGCTTTTTTTTTTACACGCACCTTTCCTGCTGCATGCCGATCCTCTTTAAAAATTATACTTTCTTCATTTACTGGAGGTAGGCCGCTCAGCGATTCAATTATTACTAAAATGGAAAGAAAAAAAATCAATTAGAACTTCATGTTTCGACAGCATGTAGCTAATTGCTGTAAAACTCAACAAACCACACCACTACTTGTCTACTTAAGTTCGTAGAGCTGCAACCAAATATTCCTGCAAAGAGAGAAAATACTTAAAATCACACACCCCTTCTCCAGTGATACATGAGTGTTAATACTTACACTGCTTATARAATTATTGCTCTCTGGGGTAAAGACAGAGTCCTAAGAATAAGACCAGAAGACAAAAGCTGTCTGGCAGTTCAGTAGCAACTTAACGTGTTGTTTGCATATGCACATACACAATCTGGTATACAGTTCTGCAATTTAATAGCATGTAAGTCTCATACTACACTTGGGCATAATTATGATTAAACTCCGCTACCTGTAAAACAACAGAATGCTCAATTAAGCTTTCCCAATGCCTGTCCATCAGCAAATGAAGTCACTCAAGTACTTAGTGCCACTCAGACTCCAACAAAAGCTCAAGACCATCACTGCTAAACCTACATAACAGGACTTTCAGCAATCCACAAGTCACCAAGCTCTCTGCAAAAGCCTTAACATGCCAAGCAAGTACGTGACAACACTACAGGCTTAATATCTCACTGAAATTCAAGAGAATTTGTGACAGCAATTTCTTTTGTGCCTACCTTTAGGATAAAATATACACTGAAAGTACCAATGTATTGTTTAAACCTCGTGAGAAATATACCTTAGCAGAAAAAACCCAGACAAAAAAAAACCCTAACATGCAAACAAAAAACCCTATGAAAAACAAGATACCAAAAACTCAGATAATTTCTCCGTTTAATTCACCACACACAGCCCCCATTAGGCTAAGGAAAATATATTCTGAAAATGTACAACTCACCAGTCCCATGAAACTTAGGAGAAACATTATCACCTACAGCCTATTTGAATTACAGCTTCCCCTACCCCAACCCAGCCTAAGTTATCCGCTTCCACTCTGGCAGGCCTAAAATACAGCCCTGGGGAAGGTTTCTCATCTACACCAAAGCTGTTTACTTTCCAGGCCACAACCCACACAGTGATTTTTTTCTCTTCTCTTTAAGTACCTTGAAGCGAAGAACATCAGAAGTTTTGTCAAATTTCTGATTCACTGAGCAGACATTCACAAAAAGTACTGTCAGCTTGCTTTKAGCTACTGCAGAGCAAACATGAACCTACACTGTTCTAGCCCCAAATTTACCCAATTTACAAGTATCACTCACTGCAAACTGATGAACTTGGAAGCTTGCTACAGAGAGCAGTAGAGGTTCTGAGAAACATCAAAGGGACAGAAAAAGTTCAGAATATTGACTGTTGCGCCAGAACAGTATTTGTGGTTTCSAAATGACACTTCAACTCCTCTCAGACTGGACACAAACCTGTTATGTAGAGGTATCAATTTATTTCAAAAATCCAGAAACAACCCAATTATCGGGCATCCCTAATATGGCCACAAGTCAACTGAAACTGAGGCCTGTTTCCAGAAGAACTGAAAAGAAACTAAAATATGAAGAAAGAGAAGTCATAAAGCGGGGTACTGAAAAGCAAGAAAATAATCACAAATGTCACAAGGGTTTATGCCAGTTTTACTTCATTATGATTATTAGCTTGTTTTTTAAGTTTCAGCAACAACACTTACATTACATAAAGGAGGATGCAGCCTGAAAAATTTACTTACCAGTAAACTGGTATTTGAAAAGTTTGTACTTACCAGGGAGAATGAGAATTAAAGATGGTTTTCAAAACTGCAGTCTTAAAAACAGCTTTGTTTATACCTTCATATTTTAGACCAACATTAAGAATAATAGCAACCGTGACTCAACTTTTTCTTAAAACTTGTTTTCAAACTATCGTTTTAGCTGGACAGCCTTTTTGAAGTCCTCATTATTATCAATATGCAAGGAAGTGAAGTAGAACAAAAGAACCAGATTACTACCTTCCACACCCTTCAACCAACTTCCTRCAAACGAACAAAATTAAATCTCACTCCAAAAAAAATAATGTAGAGGAATTGCCTGCATTACCTGAAGTCTTTTATGATAAAAGAAAAATMGCAAAAGTTATTTGCTTTCTTGTGTATTCCACTCAGCGTAAATACTTTAACTTCAAAATTGAACTTAGTTTCTAATTTTCATAAGTAAATCGCTTTGAAAGCCGTTCACACAGAATGAAACACTTGAAATCGCTTAGATACAAACATACTGTGAATTTTTTAGTAATATGAGCTTCAGCAAAACTTTGATTTCATATACCAAATACTGAGGTCCCATGCAGATCCAGAAAGATCCCTAAATCTCTATGTCTGCAGTTAAGCTTACATCTATTCTGCATCTCAATCCCATTAAGCTTTCCCTCCACCTATAAATAAGTGCTAGTCATACCATCCTCTGACTGCTCACATGGCACCTTTCACTTGCTCAAGGTGTCAGAAGACAGATGAATAAAGATAAAAGTAAATTAAATTTTAAAAAAAGAACTTGCACTGGAGAAGAGACAAGTCTTTTTCCTGTCCTCATATATTAACAAGCAAGCACGTGAGACTACACTGTACTGCATCTGAGCTTTCAGTTGCATAGCTCCTACACATTCAGGGATTATTCAAAAAYAGCATCTACAATTGGAAGATTTTCTTACAATACTTAAAATACAGTAACTGTGGATAAATGGCTTTTTAATTAAATATGAATGTCACAGAAAAACACATGCACAGTAGCCCTAGTATCAAGTAAGCTAAATAAAAGACAACACAATATCATTTGCTAGTTCAAATTCCCATTTCTGCTACACCCAGAAATCTAATGATACAGCAGTGACACCTTGAAGGAATAGCTAAGAGCAAAATAATTACAGAGATATACAAAAATTATATTAAAGGAAGCAAAACTTATCTTGCCTACCTAGCTGCTCAATGATACTGGAAACTGTCCCAAAGAGCTTCAGTTCAACATCATCTGGCAGAATTATTTGTAAGTCTTCAACAGGAGGTAGTGCCTGAAAACATCAAATCAGTGCTCAGAATATAACATCACACAAAGACATTTATCACTTTGTCACGCAGAAATCTGAGAATCTCCTAGTATTTTGAAGACTTTATTTTAGAAAAATCTAGTTTTATTCACCTCTTTCAGAGTCATCCTAAATGAACTCATCTTGGGGGACCAACACTTTCATGGACATTTTCCTACACAGACACTTCTCTACATATTTCCATCACAACTAAAGTAGAAGCCAATTTTATTTAACAGGAGAGAGCCAACAATTGACAGGCATTTCATCTAATTTTTTAGATTAATTAAGCTCAATGTACAACACAATAATTAAACAATGAGAAATTTAAAAATAAGTCCACATGCAACAACATTCAAAGCACGCTAGAAGAAAAATGTACACAGCAAGAGATAATACAGCATAAAACACACCAGATATGTATCATCTGAAATGACAATTTTCCTCACAGTTGCTGTTATGGGGCTGTGTTTTGGACTTGTGCTGCAAACACTGCTGACAATATAAAGATGTTTTTGTTATTCCTGTGACAAGGCCTTTTCTGCTCTCATGCCACCCCATCAGTGAGGACATTGGGGGTGCAAAAGGAGTTAGGAGGGGACACAGAACAGCTGACCTGCATTAACCAAATGAATATTCTAAATTAAGTAATATCATGTTCAGCATAAAAAGCTGGGTAAAAATGAAAATCAGGAGACTAATGGAGTGGTGGTGTTTGTATGTCCAAGTAGCTGTTACACATGATGGAGCCCAGCTTTCCCAGGGACAGCAGAACACCTGCTAGTYCATGGAAAGTGGTAAATGAATCTCTGGGTTTGCCTTGCTTGGATGTGTGGCTTCTGCTTTACCTACAAAACTGTGTCTAGCTCAGAGCTTCTATTTCACTATTCTAATTCCATTCCCCATCTTGACACAGGAGAAGCGTCTTAAAATAAGATACTTTTAGTTGGGTTAGTAAGAAAGGGTTTAAAAATACCACCTCATACTTACATCAAGAGTCAATTCATCCTTTGTTTTAATACAGTAAGGTTTGTTATCCCTCTCATTTGGATGATCATCTTCATCAGATACTGGTGAAAGTGAAGAGGAGAATGTAGCTGATGAATGYGAATCTGCATCACTGAATAAAAAAACAAACATGGGAGTTAGAATACTGACTTTACACAGTCACTGCATTTGTAAAATCCCAGTATTAGCATAACGCTGAGTGAAAGTCAAGAAAAGTCAAGAAAATCAAGCAATGCATCTTTCAAAAAGGGAAAAAAAAA